AAAAAAAAAAATAAAAGGAAAGGAGAAAAAAGAAAAAAATGGAACCATCAGCCACGGTTTGAGGGGTCGATAAAGCTTTTAGATTTGGAGACGTTTTCCGGAGCCCATTTCCTGCGGCTAGGAGTTGTTAATGGAGCTTAAGGAATTATCTTAGACCGGGCGGCCGGGAGAGCCGTATATTTCCCGCGCCTGTTCCCTTGTCGAGTCTGAATATGCTGCTGTCAGACTCGCTTAATGAAAAGTAACGCGCCGCTGATTACAGTTTTATTTGGCTCTATGTAAAGAGCGCCGTTAATTTAGCCTCTCCTCTCCGCGTGTTTGCATCGGCCACGCCTGAGTGACCGAGCGCCGGCCCGCGCCGCGCGGGCGCCCCGGGAGGGAAGTCGGGGCTGGCCACCCTTCCCCGCGGAGGCCCGCCGGACCCCCTTCCCCCCGACGTCCTTCCCCAACCCCGTGAGGGCCCCGCCCACTTCTCGGGCCGTCCGGGCGCGGCGGGGTGGGGGCGCCCCCAAGGCCGGGTCAGGGTGCGCGAGGCGAGCGTGGCGGGCTGTGCCTCCCCAGGCGAAGGGACGGGGCTGTGGGGTCTCGGTGTGGCGGAGCCCCTCCTCACGTGTATTCAAACAGGCGAGTTCCACTGAGATCTGGGGGCTCCAGCGAAGTGGGATTCCCACGCCCAGGGCCGCAGGGACAGGCGGGTCCTGGCGCCAGGGACTCTGCCCGGGAGATCTTGAGGGCCACAAGCTTGGCCAGCAGCAGAAACCCTCTGGGCCCTGGGGTCCGAGTTGCTCCCTGGCCGGGATCGCCTACGGAGCCACCGGCGTGCTGGCCTGCGGCTTCAAGGCCCCAGCAGAGCTGCCTGCCACCAGGACGCCAGGCTGAGTCCCAGTCCCCGATGTCTGCCGCCCCAGCCTTCATCCCTGCCTAGCCCCCAAATGGCTTATTTCTGCTGGAAATCTCTGGCTTTGTCTAGGGCGGGTGGGGGTGCGCTGGAGAGGCCGCCCTGGGTCGCATTAAAATTCCTGGCGCCCCAGCCTCGGGCCGCAACGCGTCTCCCCTGAGACTCCACTTTCGCTATTACTGTCAAGTACCCTTGACTCTTTATTTTTGCCCTTTTATCTATTACAACTAATTCGAGTTCTTTTGCCCTTTTCAGTCTAAGACGTGGGCTTTCTGCAAAGCCTCCCCTGCCAGCGAGCTCTCGGAGCGCGCAGCCTTTAGAAATTGAGGGGTTTACTGTCAAAATGAAAATTTCACTTCAAATTATCTTGGCTGATGCTCGCTCGCCAGGCCGGGGGCTCCCGCCGCAGCCTTTTGACAGGCACATCAGCGGCGAGCTTCCGAACCTCGATAATATCATCCAAGAGAGTGAAAGTGAAAGCGGTGACAGCACAGGCCGGTACAATCCAATTACCCGACGGCGGCGGGGCCGCCTCGCGCGCTCGGGCGGATGCGCCCTGCCGCGCAGGGTTCCCTCTCCCCCGGGTGCCTAAACTTGCGCCAAGGCTGACCTCGATAGCCGACCGACCAGTCTTCCAGAGTTCCTTGCCCACCGAGGCCTTTCTGCAGAAACCCGGGCATCCGGAGGCCCCAGATGCGCCCCACCCAGGACCTAGGCTGGCAGAAGAAAGCCCAGACCTTTTCTGTCCCTGGAGGTTAGACTGCCTGCCCGCCTGCTCAAGAAGGAGTTGCATACCTCCAGCGCTTGGCTCCGTCCTGGACAAAGGCCACTTTTGCCCTGTCCCTGCATCTCCTGTGCTGTCCTGCCCTCAGGAGCTCCCTGTGGCCATTTGGAACTTTTAGGAGGCCCTTGGGAGCCAGAGCAGCAGGCTTGCTGGTGAGCCAGAGGGCAGCAGGACCCCTAGGAAGGATGCCAGGATGCCCCGGGGAGATCAGTGAGGACCCTAGGCTGGAGCAGCTGCTGGCGGCCACTCGGCCAGTGGAGATGGGGTTCGAACCAGGGATCTGATGGAAGCCAGGGGTCTGTGCAGGCAGGACCCTCCCCAGGCCAGGCTCTGTCCCTGTGCTCCCTCAATTGACCCTCTAATTCTGCCCAGCCCTTCTCCCCCTGCCTGGGAGATCTTTCCACCCAGCTCCACCCCCTACAGCCCTAATTTACGTGAGAAAGGGCCTCTACAGGGGGTGAGGCCGGGTTAGGGAAGACCAATTGACTTCCCCTTTGGTAGGGCGGAGGGCCTCCGCAGGCACTGGCTTTAGGGCAGGGTGGCTCCTATGCACCCCCCTCCCCCAGGACATAGCCCTAGGAATTTGGAAAGTCTAAAATTTGTTCTAATTCAGCCAAAGAAACTCCTTTTGTCTCAAAATTCTGGAGTCTGGCAATGGGAAAAGTGGAAAAGTTTTTTCTCTGACTGTTCTACAGGAGGAGTCCAGCAGAAGGCTCTGATTTCTCAGCCACTCTCCTGTTTTCAGTGGCTTAGGTAGGACTCTGGTGGACTCAAGGGGGCAGGGGGGTCTTGGGTTGACAAGGACTTTATGGAGGTGTTGTCTGGTGGACACCCACCCCACTCCACCCTGCCCAGCCCCACCTCATTCCTTCCCATGGGCATCAGCACCACCTCCTCTGGCAAACTCTCAAGCCCCAGGTTTTGAAATGTGTTCACTCTGCAATGCAAACACCATCACTGGGTTTTATTAGCCTCTCTCTGAAGCAGGCAATTATTGGTGTGAACATACATTTTAAAAAACATAATTTTATCGAGTCAAGAATGTGCAACAGTGTAAACTTGGTGGAAGTGCTGTTGGTGAGCATTATGTGCTGAGGATGAAGTCAGAAGATGAGCAGGCTGAGAATTCATAACCAAGACCGGCATGCCCCCAACCCCACGGAGACAGCTACACAAAACAAGCCCAGGAGCCCAAACGCCCTCTCCTTGCACACTTTGGATGTAAACTTGATGCTTCAAGGGTGCTCCCATCTGCTGTGAGAGGCTCCCATCTGCTGTGAGAGGCTCTCCCTGCTGGGTTCAGTAGTTCAGGGGGATGGCTCTGGTAGACTCATGACCAGGTGGGTCCAGGGGATCTTGGTGACAGCACACGCTTCTCTGTGGCCCTGGGGAGACTGAGTCCAGTGCTCCTTCCCAGTATGTTGGCAGCCTTGGCTTGGCCACTCTCTGGCCTTCCTTTGGAAACTCAGTAAAAAAGAGTCTGGTCTTCTGGGCCAGCGCTGGTTTCCTTCTCTGTCATGCTGGACAGGTGGCATCAGGCGCAGAAGGGCTTGCCCCCAGCCTTGGGCATGGCCAGCAGCTCCCTGGCAGCACCTGCAGCTGGGGCATCTTGGGGTGCAGCAGAGGGGAAGGTGCGGGCCAGGGGCGCTGTCAGCATGTTGGCACTGGCCCCCAGAGAGCGTCCCAGAGGCCCAGGATCCAGGAGGGCACCCTTGGCGGTGGCCCAGGCCTGGTTCAAAGTGCTGTGCCTGAGGATGGGGTCATGGAAGACCCCGTCCACCCAGTTTCTAAGACTGGTTACTGGGGAGTCCTGGTGCCTGTCCAGGGCACCTAGGGGTGCCGGGACCACAGAGGAGGATGAGGTGGGTGTGGAGGATGTGGCTGCAGGGGCAAGAGAAGCTTGACGCTTGAGCATGCAGGACGGAAACTCAGTCTGGCTCAGGGCAGTGGCTGCTGCGGCAGTGGCCGTGTGGGCCAGTGACCAGATTCGAGGCTTGGACTCCAGACCCCCTGGCGTCCCAGTAGGTGCAAAGCCCAGCTTGGCCTGTGGGTCACCCTCTGTGCCTGGCTGTTGCTCCTCCCTGGCCACTGTGCTCCGGAGGCAGCTCCGGGCCCTCTCCAGGTCCTCATCCAGGGCAGCTCCACTATCCGTGGGCAAGGGCACCCGGAGCGGGCCGGAGGCCTCTTTGCCTCCAGTGCCAGGGCCTTCAGGTGCAGCAGGGCCACGCTCCAGGCTGCTGTCCAGGCGCTGGAAGGGTGCCTTCAGCTCACACTCTGGGGTCTCTGCCTCAAGTGGGTCGAAGTCCTCCAGGTCACTGAGCTCCAGCTCCTTGTCCTCTCTGCTGACAGCCTCTGCCAGAAGAGAACACAGGCCAGTGGAAAAGACAGCTCGGTGGGTCACCAGTCGCCCACTCCTCCTAAGCCACATTATGGAGTCCAGTACTGGACAAGGAAAAGGCCTGAGGTCCTTCTCTGTCTTTCCATCTCCTTTGAAGGTGCCCAGGACTCCACCTGGTGACACAGGGGACTAGGTTGATTTCAACCTCTAGTGTGTGTGTGTGTGTGTGTGTGTGAGTGAGAGAGAGAGAGAGAGAGAGAGAGAGAGAGAGAGAGAGAGAGAGACATTCTAAAACATGACTTGGACTTCTCTCTGTGTGTCCAGGGGGACCACCACAGTCTCCAGGTGCACAGGGCCTTACCCACAACTTGTTTGCTACCCAGCTGGTCCTGGGAGGTTCTGTTTTTGCTTGGCTCAGCTCCCCTCTGTGCCTGGCTGCTCTTCTCTAGGTGTTAGGAAACCCTGGAAAAGTCCCCTGGAAGCCTGGCTGACCCCAGGGCCAACTTCCCAACTCACCTTCGCCTTTGGAGCTCTTGAGGGGCTCCTCCTGCGCCTCCTCCTCCCCGGCCTCCTCCTCCTCGCCCTCCCCATAGGGCCGCTTCTCCTCTGCGCATTTGTTCCGCGGCGGCCACGTCATCTTGTTCTCCTTCTTGAGGCGCCGTCGCGCGTTGGCGAACCAGGTGGATACCTGGGTGAGGGTCATCTTGGTGATGATGGCCAGCATGATCTTCTCGCCCTTGGTGGGGTACGGGTTCTTGCGGTGCTCCTGCAGCCAGGCCTTGAGCGTGCTGGTGGTCTCGCGCGTGGCGTTCTTGCGCCGCGTGCCGCTGTCCATGGTCCCGTACCTGGAGACAGGCTCTACAGTGGGACACGGATCGCAGCGGAGGGCCAGCCGCCGCCCAGGCCGACCCTGGGGGTGGGGGCAGGGCCGCCAGGGACGCTGGGAAGGGCTTTGCCTCCCTGTGTCGGGTTGTGTGTGTGTGTGGGGGGACGCCTTGCCTTTTGTGGGCGGAGGTCTAAGAGAATGTCATTAATATGACAGGGAGCTTGGCTCATTCCCAAGCGGGAGAGGTCATGGCCTCTGTCACTCTCCAGAGATATTTCCCTGAGGTTCTCGATGGGGCTTCACTCCTATTTCTTTGATCCCCAAGCCATAAGAACACATTGCAGGCAGGTGACCTCCCACCCTAATATGCAAGTCCCTGCCAGGAAAGGTCATGGTGGACCGGAGCAGAAAGCTGCCTGCTGCCTCAGTGTGTTCAACTGTTATGGTCACCCAGGAAGATGGAATGACACTGTGGCCTGGACTGGGCACGGACAGCTGCAGGGTCTCCCGCTCATGGCTCCCTCTGCAGGGGCAGTGGGTTCTGCTTGGACACTCAACCAGGGCTCTACTTCTTGGGGTACAGGGAGGTGACTGAGGCTCCTGAGGAAGTCGCCTTAGTGGACTGGGCCTTCCAGTTGTCACGTCCTCAGAAATTAGAGCAGTTTTTACAGCGTGAGTGGGGTGGGGTAGGGGACTGGGGCAAATTCTAGTTCCCCGCAGTACAGGCTGGCCAGGAGCTGAGAAGCATGGACCACGGTGGCAGGTGACTTCAGTGGTAGCAGGCTTGACCTGCCTCCCCACTTCCCAGGAGGGGCATGTTGACTGTGCATGGAGGTGGTGACCACTGATGGTCCCTCACCTGTCGTAGGGGTACTGGCCCAGAGCTGGCTCATAAGGGTAGTAGGCGGCAGCAGCCGCAGCTGGCGGGAGGCCCGCATGCGCAGATCCCGACCCGTCCTTGGAGTCGAAGCTATTCTGTAGGAGCAGAGGAGTCTGGGGTCACAGACACCACCCAGCTACAGCCCTTTTCCTAGGTCCCCTGGCTCCCCAGGCTCCGGTCAGATCCCCAGGCACATCCCGGGGCAGTCCCCACTCACACCCACAGTCCACACCTGCAGCAGGCCCTGCCTGAGGCTCATCTCCCTCAGGCCTTGGTTCTCCATTCCCCAAACTGGAGAGGGGACAACTGGAGTTCCGGAAACAGGATAGAAAGGAGAAGGAAAATGAAGGGGGAAAAGAGAGAATCAGAGCGGGTAAGAGGACAGCAGAGGTGGGTGTGGAGAAGGGTCATGGAGAGGCGCAGTGGCCAGCCGGGAGAGTAGGTGAACCGGGAAAGAAGAGGGCAGGAGAGGTAAGGGAGGGTGGGAGTGAGGAGCAGGGGAGGGAGAAAAGGGAGAAGGAGGGGATGGGAGAGGAAGAGAAAGAGGGGCTTGGCGAGTAGAGCCAGTGATCTTATTGGAATTCAGTGGAAAACATAAAACAAAAAGTACAGCGGTGCACCCGCGGGGCACCCTGAACCCGGGCGGAGTGTTGGTGTCCCTGATCCCTCTTCCGAGGGACTGGTTGGGGAGCCCAGCTGGACGAAGACAACCCTCAGCAGTTGGGGGACCCAGAGG